CAGAGCAACTCAAGGAGAGGTGGGCGTTTTAGAAAACACCGTATTCACTTATCACATGACCCAGCAATGCCTTCTTGGCCTCAATTACAGAAACACGGAAACTTATGCTCACCAAAACGCAAGAGGACAACCTACGTGTGCAGTGTTCACGGCGGCTTTGTTCACAGCAGCCAGAAACCTGGGGGACGCAGTGCCCTCGGCGGTCCCCCAGTCTGCCCCCTGCGTCAGCAGGGTTTGGGGGGCACAGGCCCAGGGCCGCCCCCTGTTCCAGCCTCCGACCTCCCTCCAGCCACCACCTCAGACCCCCCCGACCGTCCTTGGCCTCCGAGACCTGCCAACACCGTTTCTGGACCAGAACCGCTCACTGCCAGGCAACCGTGAGCCCCCAGGTTCGTCAGAGCCACGCCACCCAGGCGCAGGCCCCGCGGACCGCCTGGCCAGCCCGCGCCCGCGCCCGAGGCCTCGCACGCACGCCTACCTCCCTCTGGGCTGGGCTTCTCCTTCGAGCCGGGGGCCCTGCGGCTCGGCCGGGCCGGGCCGCGTCTTCCCAGAGGGGGCGGAGAAGAAGGTCAGGGGTGTCCGGCGGGTCTTACAGCGGCAACCCCAGCGCACGTGGCCGGGTTCTCTCCCAGGGTGTGTGGGAGCCGCCTCAGGAGGAGGGGTGACTCTCAGAACGCCGGAGAAGCTGCCCGGTCCCGGAGGAGAGCCTGCCCCGGGCCCGGTGGACCTGCAACCCCCGTCCTGCCCGCGCAGCCCCCCAGGTCCGCATCTTCCTGGAGCTGCTTCCCGGCCGAGCAGGTGAAGCTCACCAGGAGGACGGGCGACGCTGCCTCGGCGCCCAGGTGCCGGTCCCCGGCCGGGCCGGTCCCCGGCCGGGCCGGGCCGGTGTGTCTTCGACAGGCTCCCCCTGAGGCACGACCAGGAGTCTGTGGGGCTCAGAGGCCTTCGAGGGGCCCCCTGCCCCGCCCCCGGGGTCTGGCTGTTGCCTGGGCCTCCCCCTGCAGCCACTGGGCAGCCCTTCAACCAGCCTGGAGCCTCCCCCAGGCCAGGACCAAGGAGAAACAATGAAGCTTTTGCAGCAAAAACAGACAAAACAAACTGGGGGACCCCAGGCGTCCTTCAGGGGGTGAAGGGCCCCACAGACTGAAGTCCAGTCTCAGACGGGGCCCGGCGGAGCAAGGGCAGCAGTGAGCGGGGGTGCACCCCACACACCGTGACCCTCGGCGGGACTCGCTGCGTGGCCCCGGGCTGTGCGGGTCCGCTCGCGAGAAGTGACCACACTGGAGCCGTGGGGGCCCCGTGCATGGGGCGGGGGCGCGGCGTGTCCCCGGCAGCACGACGGAGCGCTTCTGTCTCCATGCTGGTGCCGGACACACGAATCCACACCGCGGTCACTGTACGGCGCCACACACACACACGTGCCCACATGTATGTGCAGGTCAAACACACGGAACCGGAAAGACGCTTATACATCTCACCAGAGTCCATTTCCTGTGTGTGGGGAGAAGTGAAGGTTCACCGGGGCCTCGTGTACAATTTTTGGGGCAACCTGTAGTGACTCTCTTATTATTTTAAAATAAAAGTTTAAAAAAACGACGAAATAAAAGCATTTTCGCACACGCAGAAGCTGAGATAACTCCCGCCGCCAGACCTGCACGGCCACGGGTGCGGCAGGAGGTCCTGACCCCTGCGGTGCCAGCAGGCGCGGGGGGCGCGCCGCGCTGCACGGGGAATGTGGGGCGTTCGTAACGGCCTCGTTTAAACCTCCTGTGAGACGAGTCACTCTTCGAAGCAACGTGGCCACAGCGTGAGAGCCGGGCAAGGGCCACGTTCCCTGGACGGGACCGGGCGCCGCGGCGGGAGCAGAGGAGGCAGGCGTGCGAGCCCGCAGGCCCGCGGGGCGAATCCGGAGGCGGCTGCGGGCGGGGGCGGGCGGGCGGGGGCAGACTTCGGAGCGAGAACGGCAGGGTGACCGGCCGTGAGGACAGGTCTGCTCCGGGGCCGGGGCGCAGCGGCAACCTCGGGAGTGGCGGAGGGAACCTCAGAGCAGCTCGGCTCCCCAGTCCCCTGCTCCCGCCCGCGACCTTCATTTCCCTCCAGACAGTCTCGGCGGCACTTTTTCTCCCCCTTTTCGGGGAGGAGGCGAGCGGCTGCCGCGGACGGGAGGGCTCTGGCGATGCCGCTCTTTTCGGGAGGCGGCGGCCCCGCTCCGACCCTGCCCTGCCCGGAGGCCGCGGGGTCGGGCCACAGGCAGAGCCCGCAAGTGGAAACCGCCACCGCGTGAGGGTGGTGCGGCGTCACGGCGTCACGGCGTCCGGCGCGGACGCACCGGGAGCCCAGCTGCCCCCCCCCCCCCCAGCGGAGGTGGCGCGGCCCGCGTGGCTCCGCCCCCGACCGGCTCCGTGCGCCCCGGACGCGCAGCAGGGAAGGTCTTCGCCCGGCCCTTCGCCCGCTGGTTTAACTTGCGCGAAGGAAGCAAAGCTGTGTGACCGGGCTCTGTTGGCGCGCGTCAGCCGGCCGCGTGGGCCGCGCGCGCCCCTGGGTCAGCCGGCCGCGTGGGCCATGACCCCCGTGGGGCCGGAGCCCGGGCAGGCCGGGCCCAGCAGGACGCAGCGAGGTCTGCTTTCCGCTCGGTGCAGAGGAGCCCTCAGTCATCCGGTAGCTAACTTAATTCTTCTGGCGTGAAGAATTACACACATGATGTGCTTCCCATGTGTGATCCCAAATTAGGTTAGCGGTCCCGCGTCTGTCTCCGGGCTGCATGATTTAAACAGCTCCTCGAGGAGTCACCCACACGGCAGCCCCGCCCGGAGGGGGGCCCCGGAGACCGGAGCACAGGACAGCTCACAGCAGACCCGCAGGGCCGCCACCCGGGTGTCCCTGGACGACCAGGGGGTAGACCGCGGGCTGTCGTGCGGTGGGGAGCGTATTCGGCCGTAGGAGAAATAAACTTCCGATAAATCCTATGATGTGGACAGACCTCGAACCGTGATGCTTGGTGGATTCCATGTGTGTGAAACACATAGAACACGAAGCTACAAGGCGCAAGGCACAGTGGTTCCGGGGGCGGGGTGGGGAGGGGGAGGTACAGGTATTGCCTCTGCCGGGGGCGGGGGGGGGGGTGAAAATATTTGGCAAGGAGACAGAGGTGGTGGTCGTACAGCACAGTGAGTGCGCTGCACTCCTGCTCTGGGCTGAACTGTCTACTTCAGACTCGTGAGCTTCATCTCCTGCGAACTTTACCCTAATTGAAAAAAAAAAAAAAAAACACAAGCACAGACTCCTCTTACAAAGAGGCCCCTTACCTCAGCGTCAGCCTCTCTCGTCCTCTTTCCTGACGTGTCTCCTCTCCAAACACACGTACCAAACACGGTCTGTGCATGCCAACACAAAACACGGCTCTAGAGAAACACTTAATTAGAGCCGCACACACGGCCTCCTCGTGACGCCGCCGGTGGGGACACCGCGGGGCAACGCTACAGGGTTGGCGGAAGCAGCTGATCACGGTGGGGCCCCTGCCCGGGGCAGGGGTGGGGGCTGCGGCCGGCCGGCCGGCCCACGAGCTGGGGACTTGGCTCAGACGAGGGGACGTCCTCGAGACGAGCGGTTTTGTGCTCAAGTGTCCACAGTGCTGCTCAGGCTGCACTTGGCTGAGAGAAACTGGGTGCTTGTCAGAGGGTTCCTCAGACCCCACCGTGTCTGACTCGGGAAGGGCCGGGGTCTCGGGGCTGAGCCAGGGTGAAGCGGCGTCGGCCGCGTGTGCCCCCCAGCACGGGGCCCCCAGCCCGGGAGGAGGGGCCTGCCCTCGCGTTCCTGCGTGATCTCTGTCACCGAGGACACCACGGGAGGCGGTCGCTGCACCCCAGTGCTCCAGAGGGTCTGCTGGCTTCCGTCGAGCCGACATCTGTCTCAGCTCCCCAGAAAAACGCAGTCCTAGTCTGAGGGCAAAACCCACCGCCTCCCTGGGGAAACACGCTGGTGCCTGGACGTGTTTCCTGACCGCCCGAGACCAACCTGGAAGAGGCGAACGGAGTGGGTGTGTATTCCTGGGGGCCCAGCCTCGCTGGCAGAAACCACCCATCACTACAGATTCGTATTTTCATGTCTGGGGAAACGGGCTCATAAACACTCTTTTTGGAACGAACAGCTTCCAGTGTCTCCTTCAGAGACAAGCCTGGTCCTCCCAGCCCGGCCGGCCTGCTCTCCGCAGGGGCCGCGGGGCTCCAGGTCCCTCTGTATCGGGGCTCGCGGGTGCCCTTTGGGGCCCGGCCTTCCAAGTCTGTGACGCGGCCGTGTCTCAGGGCTTGTGAGCACCCGGGTCCTCTCCCCCCCAGGGACCACCAAACCCTCCTGTGCGACGCCCTCGTCCCAGGGGGCTGTGTGGCCCCCTCCAGGCACAGCGCAGAAACCTGCCGGACAGACGCGGTGTCTGGGAACACTGAGGGTCCCCCAGGACCGGTCCCACTCTGCAAACCTCTGGGCAAAGGACGCGGGAATGCCTGCGTTAGCCACGCCCTGAATGGAAACACTGTTTCTGACAACTCAGGGCGGTATTTGCCGGCAGTCCTAGGTTTCACACTTGGCTTACGAGGGACCGGGAACATCTCCCCCCAGCAGCGCCCAACGGGAGATTCGGGAGGGAGGGGCGCGGCTTCGGGAGGGAGGGGCGCGGCTTCGGGAGCGAGGGGAAGGAGATGTGTTTACCCGAGGAGGGGTGCACGCCGGCCCCTCGGAGCAGAGGTATTTGGCACCGGCGCGTGCTCCGCCCCCGCGGGCCTGGGTGCTGCGCTCGCGGCAGCTGGCCCCGCCGCCCGCCCACGTCCGCCACGGGCTCCCCTGGAACGCGGACGGAAGACGCCCCACCTCCGGGCCGGCGGTCGTGTCAGCGCAGCGGCGCCCCCCAAAGCGCCTCTCCCGGGCGCGAGTCCCTGCAGCGGCAGGCTGGCCTCCCGCCCCGGCCGCCCGTCCCCGCGGGAATGACTCACTCCCAGCCCAGAGCGTCCGGCAAGCGAGTGCTGCTTTATTGCATCTAGTTCCTAACTACAGAGAGAGCCGACGCAAACGTCACGCATTGCCTTCCCACGGGGCGTCCGTCGGAAACGTTCATGCAAGTCGAGGGCTGGAGACGCACGGCGGGCGCTGGGGTCGCGGGCGGGAGGGGCGCCCGTGGGGAGCGGGGCTGTCTGTGTCCGCAGCCCTGCGGCTTCCGCTCTTCACAGCTGCGTGCAAAAGTGACAGTATGGCTTTCAGGGTTTTGTTTCTTTTCTGTGAGTTGAAAAAGTAAGACACAGTCACCCAGAAGAACATTTTTAGAATGCTTCCTCCAGCCGGCGAGCTCTCTCACCCAAGGACCTGCACCCGCGGCTGCAGTTCAGGCCGGCTCCAGGAGGGGGCGTGACCTCCTAAGGCACGAGGATCGGGTTACACGTGTTTCAACTCAACCATGCTTTTTTTGGTTATGTGAACTAAGCTGTTAATGGTACAAAATGCAGCAGTAAAGCCTACACTACCCTACCTGTTAACAGGAGCTCATCTGAAACCCACTCCAGTCGCCGCACGTTGAAACGTCGCTTTTTGGGAACCGTTTCCTTACACGAAGCAGAGTTATAAGGCTTCTGTGAAATAATCATCTTACAGCTGCACACATATATTACACTCCCTCTGTAATGCTATTTACAGTCACTGTCCCTTTTCGCCATCTGGGGACACGGGTGCTCTGAGCACACCTCCTTCCGCTTCCGAAGTGCTCGGTCATCTGCACGAGACGAGACCCGCAGACCTGTCCGGGGGCGGGGGGGTGGGGGCCGGGCCCTGGAAAACCGCTGCAGCGCCGGGTCTGGGCCCCGCTGGGCCTCCCCAGATGGAGGCTGCTTACTGCTGGCTCGGGAGCCCTCGCTGGGCGAAGACCAGAGACCACCTGTTACTGTTTCTACATAAATACGTGTCTATATATGTACACTCATGCAAACGCAGCACCTGCCCTGTGACGGACAGACTTCTTTTCTTGTCCAGGAACCTATCTCGTGCTAGTCGATCTACTTGTGCTAGGTTCAAAGCCCGGCTAAAAAACAAAACTCCAGCATGCTACGATGGACAGTCCTATGGCTTCAGTGACGCCAGGGAGGGGAAGACGGCGGGGAGCTGAGATGACACACTGGGAGATGTCTAAAACGCACTGAGTGAGGCCACGGAATCGCACATCGCAGCCGCCCAGGAGAAGTCGGAAAAACGTAGGAGCCGTGTTAGGTTTTCCCCCCGACGCCAGAGTCTCCTCTTCGTCTATACGAAGTCTGATGAAGCCTCGTGACAAACTGTTTTCATAGCTTTGCTCCTACGAATACTTCTCTGGTAGCAAGTTTAATGCTTAGTCCTACGACGCCCAGATGCCGTGGCTGGGGGTTAAGTAAGGCACTTCCAGCACCGAAATCCAGGGCGCCGCCGGGTGCAGTGGCGTCGGGCTCTGCCTCCTGCGGTCACCCCACCGCACCCCTTTACTTCCTTCTTGAGGTGACATTTCCTCCGGAAGACGGAGTGGTCCTTCCTTCCTTCCTTCCTTCCATCCATCCTTCCTTTTTCCCCCCTTCCTTCTTCCCATCCTGCCTTTCCGATCAAGGGCTCCTTCTCTGTACATGTAACGAATCTCCGGCGAGTCAGGAGTCCCGAGTGGTGCCACGCGGTTCAGTTTACTCAGTCCCAAGTCTGCACGCTGAACCTCCGCTGCCACTCGCGGGGCTGACACCACGCAGCCCCCGAGTGGGTTCCCACGCCGGCAGCTACGAGTGGGTGTGGGTGCTGGAGAGGTCGTTCCGTATGATTTCGTTTACTGCAAGAAAACAAACACAGGGACAGCGTTAGGGAAGCACGGCTCTGCACAGAACTGCAGGTAAGCAACCAGAAGCTCCGCCGGCCGTGCCTTCAGGACGTTGCACGTGGCCTGTGAAGGGAACCAGCTTCCTTCCTGCCTCCAGCCAAGTCCTCGGGGCGTCCTGAGCCAGCGGCGCGGCGGCCGCTGTGCCTGAGGCGCCGGCGGCCATGCAGTCGCTGCCCTGGCCAGCAACACGACTGGGAGCCGGCCCCCGCCGTCCTGGGGCTCCCCCGGGGGCTCCCCCGGGGTCCTGGGTGCATCTTCTCCAGGCAGGGGAGCACCGCTGCGCCGTGTGTGGGGTCCCACAACCAGCAGCTGGCACCCCCATGGAAGGAAGCCCCCCGGGAGCCCCCCCCCAGCGACTGCCCCTCGGTCACAGCTCTTCCTTCGTCTCTGTTTCCGCGGCCGCTGTCGGCCTGTGATTTTTGGCAGCCGGGGAGGAAATGAGCAAAGGCCACCGTGAGCGGCTGCACAGTGCCCCCTCCCTCCGTCCCCGATGGGCATCCAGATAGGGGAAATGTCACCCGGGAGGCGTCCCCACGGTCCCTTTCCTGACGGAATTCGGAGGTGGGGAGCGCGGGCTCGCGTCACGGAACGGCCGGGCCGCCCTCTGCCGCCCAGATAAACGCCGCACGTCTCTGCGAAGGCCCCGGCCCGCCCGGGGGCGGCTTCCGGAGCAGTCAGCCGGCGCGCACTCCGTCGCCCCCACTCCCTTCCCTAAATTCCCTTTCAACACCCGCCCCCCCACTGCTTTCAAGGGCAACAATAATAAAACGCAGTCGGGGGAGCCAGGAACTGTGTCATGGGACCTGATAACACAGCTCCCTGGCACCAGTTCACAGTCGGAGCCCGAGCTGCCGTCCCCGAACCCCGGCTCTTCCCGAAGGTGCGGCCTGGCCCGGACCCAGGGCCGCAGCGTCCGCCCGCTGCCCCGGCCCGCTGCCCACCAGCCCTCCCGCCTGCAGAGGACATGGGCGTGACGTACAGTCACCTGACACGCAGCCACCTTCCCCGCAGGTGGCGAAGGGGTGGCTGGGGGGACTCTCCCTCCTCTGGGGGCTCCTCACAGTGGCCAGGGGGCGTGACGGCGCCCGGGGCCCAGACCGGGCCTCAGGGCGGCGCCTGCTCGGGAGTGAGCACCGGGCGGCCCCTCGGCGGCGGGCAGGCGGCTCTCCCCGCCGACGGCCCCGGACGGTGCCCTCACCACCAGCCCCAGCTGCGTTCTCCCTCGTCCTCCCCACGTCTGCCGCCCCAGACCTCGGGCCGCGCTGCCTCCGGACGCACAGGCGGGCGCCGGGGACACGCGGGGAGGGCACCCTCCCCCCCCATCCCACCGGTTACACTCTCGCTCGTTCACGAGGCACGAGAACGGGTTGTGTGTGGCAGAACGTGGCCACATCAAAGACCATTTTAACAGCAAAAAAGTCAGAAATCCTGCGTTTCTACAACGTCACGTCTTGGAGAGTGAAAGGCTCCCTGCACCCAGGGCGCCTTGCCCCGAGCCGGCGGGTGGACCGCTCTCAGGGGGACAGAGCCTGGGGGCAGACAGAGTCGTCCCCGGGCGCGGGGACCGTGGGGACCGCGGGGATGGAGGCTGGTGACTGCCCCTGCACCGCACAGCGCCCCGCCTCTGCCTCCGCAGCCGTCCCCGGGCGCCCCACCGCCGCCTCCCTGGCCACCGTCCCCCGACTCCCACAGCCGACCCTCAGGCTCGGGCGGGCACAGCAGGGGTGGGCCCGGGGGGGGGCAACCGCGCGGTCAGCCCTCCTGCAACCTAAGGGTGACGGAGAGCAGGAGGGAGGCTTTAGGCTGACGATGATGGACGGACAGCAGAGAAAGGTTGGGGTGAAGTGGGGGTGGGTAAAAGGAGGGAGACGGGAGGAGAACGATGATGGGAATGAAAGCGAGGTCTGGTCCGCGGTGCAGCGCAGAGTGGGGTGCAAGGCGAAGTGACAGCGGGAAGCAGAGGGAGGCCCATGGGTCACAACGGTCGGACGGACCAGGGTCCCCAGAGGCCATCGCGGCGGAAGGCAGCCCGAGGGGCCGTCGGAATGGGGACTCGGGCGGAAGCCGGGCAGGGAGGGGCGTGCGCTGGAGGGGGGGCCAGGAACAGGAGTCACCACGAGGAGCCGGCGGTGTGGCCGGAGCCTGAGCGGGGTGCTTGTGGAGGGGACCCCTGGTGGGTGGTCCTGATGAGGCTGAGGCTGAGGACGAAGGCCTGAGGGGAGGTAATTCGGGGATGGGAAGGCACCTGGAGTTTACTCACTGTGGGAACCGAAGGGGTTCGGTGTTGGGGTGAGGCTGGGGACGGGAGGGGTGCCTGAGAGGTAACTCGAGGGCGAAGGGGGGGTCCGGGGAGAAACGATGGCGTGAACACGGAGGGAGGCCAGAGGGGTGGTGATCACCGGGAACGGCTGGCCGGCCTGGGGGGTGACCGTGGTGGGCGACCGCGGCGTAACGGTCCTGGGGGCGGGAGGGAGGCTGGAGGGCTTGTAGTGACAGGCGTGGACAGGGTGCCCCGAGGAGTGGGGGTAACGATGGGGACTGATCGGGGGTCTGAAGGGCAACGGTGTCGGGGGTCGAGGAGGAGTCTGGCGCAGCGAAGATGGGTTCTGGGGAGGGAGTCCGGGGGGCGACAATCATGATGGGGACCCGGAGAGGGGTCCTGGGTGTCATCACGATGGAGAACGGAGCTGGAGGCAGTCAGCAACGAAGCTAGAATCTTCTAGTTCCTCAAGTTTACGCAGACCGCAGGAAAATAACATCTGTTCGACAAGATGAAAGGGGAAGGAACTTCAGAAGTGGGCTTCCCCTAGTGCCCACGGGGGCACCTGAACCTGGCGGGAGCACTCGCAGTGGGTGGGAGTGGAGAAACCACCCAGCGTGTCCTGAGCGGTCCAGGGCCCTGGTTCCCGCCGCGCGGCTACTCCGGCGCCGGCCCTCCTGTCTGGCCCCGCTGGGGCCATCAGGAGGACCGGGGGGCCATCAGGAGGATGGGGGGGCCGGAAGGGACCACCGAGTGAGCAAAGTTCCCCGCCTGTCATCGCGGTCGGGTGGTTTCTGATGAGCAACTGCCCCCGCCCCCCTCCCAGCGACGTGCCGGCTGGAAGGGCCGGGTCACCAGGTCCTGCCCCGTCCAAGCCCAGAAATATGAAGCTGGGGTCACAGCGCGGCAGACATCTGGGGACCTTACTCAAGAACTACCGCAGACGCACGGACACCCTCAGGACCTCCCCTGAGGCCTCCACAGGACTGGGCGTGCGGGGCGGCAAGCCCAGACGGACAACCGCACTCTGCGCAGTGGGCGGCGCCCCGCACGGCCGTCCACACAGCTGGGGACGGCACCCGCAGAGCCACGCTCTCGTCCGTGGGGGCAGTCCGGGCTACGGCCCAGTCGGGGGAGCCCTGACGGTTCCCGTTTCACAGACGGACGCAGAGTCCGCCGAGGAAGGCCTGGGGAAGGCCGAGGGCTCGCCAGGGCGGCTGGGCCGAGAACCACGCGCGGGGCCCGCCGGCCCCACTCCTCGCCCGGCCACCACTTCCTATCTCCCTTCCATGAGGTCACGGCTCCGGGTCCACAGGAGTCCGCGGCCGCCCGGGCCCCACGTGGGCTATTTCGGGAGTGGCTCTCTCTCTGATGTGGCCGGGTCGACGCCGCCCACGGGTTCCCACAATGCCTTCTCTCTGCTGACAGTTTCCACTTCTTATTCAGCTTTTCCACCGACGCCCAGGTCTCTGCTCTGCAGAGGTATTTTGAACGGCAGGTAGCATGTGACCCCCGCTGCTCGTCAGAGCCCCGAAAGCGGAACCTGTGCTCTGCCTCGCGTCAGATGTCCCTCAGCAGGATGTGGTGAGCTGTTACACCACAGTTTGGTTTAATGAGAAGGGTTTTTTCCCTCGTATTTAATTTTTCTCTAAAATGCTCCTAAGGTGGAAACTATTGTTTTTTTTTCTAAAACTTCTGTGGCAGTTTGAAGCCTCGTTCTAATCGGGGGTATGCGTGCAGGATGTGTGTGTCATGCACACCGGAGTCCACCTCTGCACACACAGCTGAAATTGAGTGAAAGGGAAATCGCGTTTTTTTTTAAATACAAAAGCCAAAATGTACAGCTTTTTTTTTTTTCACCTGTACTTACATTATCTGTAAACAGAAACTACATTCTTCCTCGGAAGACACGATCTCTCAGCTCTTCACAAATTGTGCAAGTTAAGGCGAAATGTCCTTTTTGAAGTGAAATGTTTGCACTTTCACATGAGTGTCTTCTTTCCGGTTACGGTTCTGAAAAGGCTGGTGCGGAGCCGCGCGCTGCAGCGGGATGTCCAGGGCCACCTCTGGGTCCCGGCCCCGGGCGCTGTGTGACCGCCGAGAACGCAACAGGGAAGGAGTCGTCCGAGTCTGAGCACCGTTTCGTGGGCTCGCCCAGCGTTCGGGTGAAGTTCCCCCACGTTTCTGAATTCCCGGCTTCTGGAAGCCGCTGAGGGTCTGGAATCCCGCTGCCGGGCTGAGCACAGCGCTTCTCCAGCCCAGGGGCCTGCACAGACTCCGCTCCGGACCTTTCCTTCGAGGAAGGAAGGCAGGCCCCGTGGCTGTGAGTGCCGTCCCGCAGAGACCTCGGAGGGTCCGGCGGAGAGGCGCACAGGCTGGGGCCAGGGCCTGGGGACCCGGTCACGGCCGCCGGCCCACACCCGCTCAGCCGGCGGGTGTGCGCACTTCCAGACTGCGCCCGCTTCCAGCCACGCTGCAAACGGACAGGCGGACACAAGTTGTTCTCCGTTACTTCCCAGGAAGGTCGTGCAGGGCCCGAGAGCTGTGGCTGGGCCCCCCCGCTGATGCTGGGAGGGTGGACAGACCCAGGGCTGCTGCTGGCCCCTCCCTGCCTCCGTCCAGCGCCACCGTCCCCTCCGTCTGGTCCCCGCTGGCTCCCCCGCTCGGCCCTCAGGCGCGAGGCCTGCGGGGG